TCCCTGTCAAATATTCAATGGGACCACAAGTATAGAGGTCACTGTGAACTCCCAGAACCTGATTCTTAACTGCTACTCTAGATTACACATAGTAAGCACTCATTAAAGGTTCACTGATGTTAAAAAGATACTTGTTAAACCGGATCCTCTGAGCTGCTTCCTCAAAAATATTTTTCTATTATAATGTCGAAGAGAAAAGACAATATGAACCTGAAAGAGAAAAAAGGCCTGTTTTTCAGTGCATTCTCATTTAAGGAAAGACCCTAACCTGAATTCAAATACATTAATGAGAAATCCGTGAGGACAGCTGTCAACGTTGTAAATTCAGCCCTCTGTTATATAGCTATTGCTTATTCAGGAATTACACAGGGTTGCCAATGATAGCCGTTGACTGAAATAAATATTTGATTTTGTTGTCTCATTCTACCTCATTTATTAAACAAGTGATTTTATATAACTATTCTAGAAAGTAAAGATTCTCAAGTCCGCACCAGATATATTTCTGACAAACTCATGTTGTTGAGTTAATGATAATTTTGGGGTACCTGACTTTTTTTTCTTTCTTTCCTTATTTTTTAACTTTGCATACATTTGTTCAAAATGTCTGGATTTGGCGGCCAATTATAGAACACTTTTCACAGCAAACCCAGTGAAACAATGTCATTTTTAGCCTTCAACTCACAGCTATGGCCTCAAATGATTAGACATGTGATTCTGAACTTGATTTATGGAAGATGGAGCCCAATTCTCTGGCCCCAGGCCTGAATGCTGGGATGGCAGAAACCCATGCTGGAGAAAAATTTAGTTTTCCAAGTAAAAGAGGGTGATTAATGGAGAGATTCTTCTCAAATCCAGCTCCTGAGAGTGAGTGAACTGTTGTGCTCTCTGAAATTGAGAATAGGATACTGGGGCTGATTATCCCTAACACCAAATGATTATTGACAACAATTTTGAATGGCACTGTAATAATAGGTAAGGCAAAAACAATTAAAAATACAGATTTAATTTTAAAAAACTCTATACATTGAGAGTAGAGACTAGTTTATATAACTTAGGCCAGTAATTAATGAAAACAAAATCAGTTGAAAGTAATTTAAGTAAAAAGAAAATTAATATAAGTGGGAGGTGGTTTTTTTGTTGTTGTTGTTCCAGAAAGAAAAAAGCCAACTTTTTGTCAACTGAGGGAAAACAATCTACTAAGATCAAAAAAATAAAATTAGCAAATTAAATAAATGATAAAATCATAGTAAATAGATTTAAGCCAGTAGATTATATCTTGAATACATCTTGATTTTACATTATGACCATTTGGGTTGTGGGGTGTGTGTGAAAATGGGCAGTAGAATGTGAAGCCAACATGCTTGAAGAAGACAGATATGCAGCACACACAAATACCCAGAGAATAAAGGAATCAGATGTGATGAGGCCGACCAAGTCATTGTGAAAGACAAAAATATGAAGACACACTGAGGAAAAACAGGGAAAGACAGACAGACACAGGAGGAGCAAGATAGGCATGTACATACACATGTAAATACAGAGGACAGAGGAAAGGGATAGTTAGAAAGACAAACATTTTCTTTTTTATTTTTTAAATTTTACTTTAAGTTCCGGGATACAAGTGCAGAACATGCAGGTTATAGGTATACGTGTGCCATGGTGGTTTGCTGCACCTATGAACTCGACATCTAGGTTTTAAGACCCGCATGCATTAGCTATTCGCCCTAATGCTCTCACTCCCCTCGCCCCCCCATCCCCTTTCCAGCCCCGGTGTGTGTTGTTCCCCTCCGTGTCCATATGTTCTCATTGTTCAACTCCCACTTACGAGTGAGAAGATGCGGTAGAAAGACAAACAATTTTCATTAGCTCAACAAATATTTATTGAGGCAAAAACAGGCCCACAGAGATGGAGTTGGCAGACAGCTTTGCAGTTCTTTGAATCTGGCCAAAGTGAATCTAGCTGTTGATCATAACTGCACAAAATTGTTTTTGAGGGCCCACTAAGTGCAAAAGCACTGTGCTAAACACTGAAGAAGACAAAAGTAGAAATACAATAGACTCCATACCCTCTAAGGACATATTAAAAAGTTGTGTTGGGCCTATGAGTGAACTATCTGCTACTTTATCATTCTTTAAAATGATGAACTTGCTGGGAATTTAAAATAGACCTTTCTGCAGTGGCAAGCAGGATTTATGCTTCGATTTTTCATTTTAGATTATGAAGACTGTACAAAGAGACTCAGAGATAGAGAACTTTCCTTTTCATCTTTAAAAGTCACAGGCATAAATAATAGCCAAGAGAGGAAATCTCTTTGTTACACAAAGTTGCTTGGTGGCCTGATCTTTGTTCTTGGCAAAATTAGTCTTGTTTCATTACCTAGTATCTGGGAGATATCTGAAACCATCTTGTACTTTTTCCTTTTAAAATTTAATGCTATTTTTGGCTCAGTTGGCTTTTAGTTGGAACAATCAAGACAAAATTATAACATCTCCCACTCTCCAAAAAACAACCATGGAAAAACACTTTACGAATAAATAAACAACTCCCAGTTAAGGCTACAACTAGAGCATTACTGCCTATTAGAAATATAATATGAGCCATGAGCCACGAGCCATATTTTAAATTTCTTAGAGCTACATATTTAAAAGTTTTTAAAAGGTGAAATTAATTTTCATAATATATTTTCTTTAATCCAATGTATGCAAAATATCTCAACATGTAATCAATAAAAATGTATTAATGAGATATTTTACATTCTTTTTTCATACTAAGGTTTTGAAATCAGGTGTGCCTTTTATACTTATAGTACATCTCCTTTTGGACTAGCCACATTTCAAGTGCTCAATAGCCAAATGTGGTTACTGGCCACCGTACTGGACAACAATGATTTGGAGTATTACTTCTAAGTGGATTGAATATCCTTTCCCTTCCTATTGTTAGCTCTACCACAGACTCAACCAGATGAAAATAAAATCTAAAAGCCAACTTTTGTTTTCTAAGTCCCTTTAGTACATAATACTGTCTTTTTGCAATCTGTCTGGTGGTATTTACCCTTTAGGCATGAAGAAGGAGAGTTGAGGTTTGTATATGAACATGGGAAGGTATAGTTTTCTTACTTAGGTAAAACAACCAGTCCACCAGAAGTAGACAGGGAAAATTCCTGGTGGGAGAAAATGGCTCTAGAAGCTGGCCCCGCTCTGCACTTGGTTGAATTGAGTAAGCTTGCCTCAAGGTTCTTCTGGTACCCTGTATCCCTCTGTCAAGCACTTATCAGTGTAGACTGTAAGTTCCTTGAGGGCCCACACCATCATTACCCATCTCTGTCTCTCTAGCACCTAGCATAGTGCCTGGAACATAGTGCTCAAGAAATATCTGCTAAACAAATAAATGAATTCACATAAATTCAGTTTCTTGTGTGCACTAGCCACGTTCCAAGTGCCCCATAGCCACACACAGCCAGTGGCTACCATATTAGACAGCACAGATATAGAACATCTCTATCATCACAGTAAGTTCTATTGTTTATCACTGTTTTAGAATGAGTAGAAATATTAATTTGACCCATTCGGTGACAGGGAGCTTCTAGAAACCACAAAACTCTTCTTTTTTGTAAGCAAATGAGAATACATTTTAGCTCCCTGGAAAGTTCAAATATAATGTCATTATGGTTTTGACTGGAAGAATAAACTTGGCCATGCATTTCTTCCTGAGTTTGTCTCCCTTAGGGTCTTCTCATCTTGATTCCCGCCAGGCACAGTTTCCATGAGTGCCTCTCCTATTCTCTAGCCCAAATGTCTAATGAATGCTTTCCCTTATTTCCTGAGATATACTGTCAATTTCAAAAGAAACTTTAGTACAAAAGCTAGGGGGGAAAACAAAGAAAATATAAAATCATGAAAAACAATCAAGCTTATATGTGATATATACTTTTTTGAACCTAAGTATGCCAGGAAAAGCAGTGTGGTTCTTGAAGAAATTCTACCTTCTCTTATCCTAAAATAATGAGATTGTAATGGCTGATGGGCTAGCACAATTTTGCAAGCATATTGGCTGTAACCCTTTGTCTTCAGCCCCTTGCCTCAGCCAGGAAATGTCTGAGGTGACATCTTTGTTTCTGACATACAGTAGTTGGTGTCCCTGAATATGTGTCTCACTCCTCATTTAACGGTGTCCATTAAGAATATTCAATTTTCCTTTAAATAAAACTTATCCCTGTTTCAAATGCTGTTGCCTGCTCAGATCCACCTGCCTAGTTTCACCTTGAGGCCTGAGAGACATGCATGAGTACAGCTGACTTGCAGAACTGGTGACTCCTGCCTTCAGCCTTAGTGAATAATCTAATGCAATGGTTCCCATGTCTTGCTGATTATCAGGATTATCTGAGGAACTTTTGCAAAGTTCAGATCACTGAACCCCACTCCAGACTTCTAAATCAAATCTTTGGCAGTGGGGCATAGGAATCTTTATCTTTAACAAGTATACTAAGTGAAAATGATGCACTAGGTCTCATTTAGGGATTATTGTCTGTTTCCTCCATACTCAGTCAACTCTGCCTACCTCTGGATCATTCCATAAGGACATTCCCCACCCTCACTTTGTCACTCTACATTTTGACAATAAAACAGGATCTTAATCATACCATCCATGGAGCTGTAGGGGGAATTGCGATAAAGGGGGTTTTTATGTAAGCTAGAAGTTTCCATAACCCTACTGCTTTTTCTAGAGAAATCTGTTTGAATCTTCTAACTACATAGGATCAAAATGTCCCCACAGAATTTACCGTCAGGCCAACAATGATGAAGATTTCAGCAGGATGTGTTCCTAGGTTAATGAACAGTCAGCCCTCCCCCTGAAAGGCCAATACTGAGAACGCAAGACACAAATATAATCTAGGAAATGAGAAGCATAATTTATGCAAAACCCAAGCTCTTACTGAATTTTAATTTTAATGTATGTTGCTTGTACTCATCTTTTTATATTTCAAATAACAATCACTTACCCTTGACCAATTTTTTCAAATCTTGTGTATTTTTTCTTTGGGTCCCCAACACTCACAATGCTTCCTAAGAGACGGGTGGGGAGAGAAGAAAAGAGGAGGAGGTGGAAGAGAGAAAGAGAGAGAGAGAGAGAGAGAAATGGAAATTGATTGACTGTTTTTTAATTTAATAATGAAAATTAAGATGCCAGAGTCAGTGACAAATAAAACATTAGACAAATACTCCCATGTGATTTCTATAATTTATATAAAATGATACTTTCTACTTATTAAAATAACAAATAATTTTATAGTAATTAAAGTAGTAATAATAACTCATTTTGCTTATATTCAACATTACTGATATTTGGAAAACAAAACTTGTCACAACCCAACATCTATAAAAAGTTCTCATGATACTATATATTAGGATATAATAACCATCTAAGAAAGGGATGGAGCTGGAGGTCATGATCCTAAGCAAACTAATGCAAGAAAAGAAAACCAAATACTGCATGTTGTCACTTATAAGTGGCACTTATAAGAGCTAAACAATGAATACACATGAGTATAAAGATAGGAACAATAAACACAGGGGATCACTAGACAGGGGAGGATTGGGAGAAGGGCTGAAGAACTACCTATTGGGTAGTATGCTCACTGCCTGGCTGTAGGCATCATTAGAGTCCCAAGCCTCAGCCTCACACAATTTACCCATGTAACAAACCTGCATGTGTACCCTTTAATCTATAACAGAAGTTGAAGTTATAAAATACAAAAATGTGCTCAGTCTCCGGAAAATACACATTAAAACCAGAATGAGTTAACACTACAGACTGATAAGAATGGCTAAAATTGAAAGGGTTGTCAATACCAAATGTTATCAATGATGTAGAGCAATTGGAACCCTTGTGCACTGATGCTGGGTACATAAATTGGTATAATTGCTAAAAAACAATCTAAGAACTTATCCACACTATTTAGTAAAATCACTATCTTCTCTGAATTGAAGTTAAGCACTATGCTATATCCAATTCTGCTGGACAAATATCTATTGAGTATTTACTATGTACCCAGTACAGTGCTAAGGGTGTGGGGATGGAAATGAGTCTAATGAAGAACAAAGTATGATCATAAAGTAATGAGACCCATGCATTTTCAAAACATACATTTCTGAACCTAGGACACTGTTAGTGCTCCAAAGATTTGAACAGATTTACTGACATATGATTTACGTACCATAAAGTTCAATGACCTAGAGTGTGCAATTGAATGTTTTTAACATATTTACTGAGTTGTGTAAATGTCATCATGATCTAATTTTAGAATGTTTTCATTATTCCAGAAAGAAACCTTGTACCTGTTACTTGTTAGCAGTTACTCCCCATCCTCCCTCAGCTTGCCGAAACATACCTCGGCAACCACTAATCTACTTTCTGTTTCTATAGATTGCTCCGAACATTTTTAGTAAGTTTATAAGCTACATAAGAAAACTATTAATTGATCATATTTGGCTCTTTAAAAATATTAGTTTTGCTATTTCAAAAAAATCCAATCCATCACTCAGAGGATGAATACTTGCTATGACTCAGAATAAATACCACAGAAGTGGCATTGACTCCTCAATGCAGTGTTCAAATAGGTCCAGAAAAAACTTGGGATTATAGAACCATCATGGGAATAAGGGTGCAGCTTCTCAAGGGTACTACTTTGAAGGGCATCATTTATTTGGATGCCTCTGGCCCACCTTTCTTTTTGGAAGCAAACATGTCAGTATTATTACCTTTGAGTTAGTTATATCTTACTAACACATAGTACAAATAAGTGTACGGTTGGTTGGTAAGACAAGATTTTCACATATGAACTAATCAAGAGATCTGTAGATTCTATCCTCTAGTTGTCACTCGTATTCATACTCTTCTCTCTATGCCCATGGCCACTGTTATTGTTCGGGCCTTCAATACTTCTTATTCAAACAATTGTGCCAGTCATAACCTACTTATAGACTCTGCTTTCTCTAGTTCCTCTTACACCACGCCTTTGGAAAAGGGTGACCATATTATTCATAAAATGAGACTGTCCTGGACAGACTGAGATGTACAATAACTCTATATCAGAATGATTTTGCTCCACTGTTCATGATTCCTCAAAAGCTCCTGCCCACTGCAAGATCAAATCCAATTTCTGTAGTTAAACAGAGAAGGCCCTTCACCATTCAGCATCATCTGGCTCCTATCTAACCAGTCTAGCTTTATATTATTCTTTTTCTCCCCCCTTACTACTTTATATCCTAGTAATGCTATCACTATCTAGTGCTTAGGTCTTTGCATGTGCTCCCCCTTTTCCTTTCCTATCTAACCCATGAATTCTTGTCATTTAAATAAAATCTCAAATTATCCACCTCTATGAAGTCTTCTCTGATCATTTCACTGAGACTTACATGCTGCTTCTCGAGGGCAGGAACTTTGTCTTTTCATCCCTGTAACTTTGGAGCCTAGAACAGTGGCTGCTACTAAACAAATATTTGTTGATTAAATGAATAAGAACAAGAAAATATGTATTTAAGTGCTCAATTATATGCTACAGATAATACTTCATGCTAATTTATACAATAGTCTATTCTCTTTTATATGCTAATTATATGCTACAGATAATACTTCATGCTAATTTATACAACAGTCTATTCTAAATTAAGTAGACAACTTAATTTAGACCTAACAGTAGATAGCATACCTTGAGAAAAATAATCAGTTAAACATTTCACGCATGGATTACTCATCAAGTTGTTGGTTTTTTTTTTTTTAATGAAAGTTCACTTTTCAATTAAGTTAAATAACACTTAGCTAATATATGGGTTGTTATAATACTTTTTCTTTTGTATTTCCCCTCAGTCAGTAGTACTGTCAGTCCATCTACTCATTAGCCTGAGTTAGAAATCTACGAGTCATCATTGACTCTTACTTTGTCTCTTACTATCACTTATCACATGCAGTTGTCCACCAAGGGCCTATATCTTGTTACCTCCTAGACATCTTTTGAATGTGTTCCTTCCTCATTACTACTGCTTTAGTTGGGCTCTCATTATCTTTTCCCTGGGTTATTCCAAAAGCCCCCTAGCTAGACTCCTAGTCTAGCTGCTGCCCCCTCTGGTCAAGGCTCTACATCTCTATCAGGATCCTCTAAGTGCAGACCTGGTGATGTGATTCTCTGGTTCAGGATTACTTGATAGCTCCCTAACACCTACAGACGAAAGCCAAAACTCCTTGGCAATGCAAGGTTCCTAATCTGGCTCCCGCTTCATTCTCTTCTCATCATTTACCACTTCCTCACTAGAACATCATGCTCTGAGCATAACAAACTAATGGTAGCGCATGATCAGCTCCTGCTTAAAAGTTCAGTTTCCTCTCCTACAACGCCAGTGTCACCATATACCATCAATTCTTTATTCAAGTAACACCGAATAAGTCAGAGTTCCCAGACATATGCCTTCAAGTCTTCTTTACATGCCATTCGCTGCCTGAAATGTCCTTCCCATATTTTCTCTGTGGCAAGTTCCTAGTCATGCTTCAAAACTTTGTTTAGATGTTGCCTCTTCTAGGAAGCTTTCTCTGATCCCTTTGAATAATTAACAGCTTCACTTTTCTATGCTACTACTGTATCTTCTCTCTCTCTCTAGCCCTTGCTCTCTCTCTCTCTCTGTACTTAATATATCAGATGTCTATATCTATCTATTTGGAACTTTGACTTGCAAGAATTAGAACTGAAGGGTTCCATAATCATCTGGCATCCATTCAATGTTGTATCTATGGCTAGAAATATACCTGATATACATGATAGGAATTCCACAGTTCTTCCTGGTTCACTTAAGGTCTTGGTCACAATGTAACACTTGTGCTGAGTTACTCTCTGTACTAAGCAGTCATCTGCATAGGTTCCTTTGTGTGTGCATGGTATTTGATATCGCCTTTTAGACTATGTCTTAAGGACAAGGAGCCATGTCTTATTCATCTCTGTATCTTCAGTGCCTCCTCATACAATGCCATGTGTAGAATATATTGAATACTCAATGAATATTTTCCAAATTACAGTAAAATACAATTAGTTATTTCCGTTTGTAAATGCCCCATGGTTTAAGGCAAGGGTTGGAGAATATATTTTACTTGAGCTGTATCTATAGAATGCCACCAATTTAGCAATTTCTGAGTTGGCCTTTTATTTTTCAACTTGTCTAAAAGATTTCTATATAACTGAGAGCCATCCTTATTCAAATTAGCTATTAATGGGCAAGGGCCTGGACTTTTTTATTTTAATGAAATGATTTTAAAGTCATTTGAGGCCATAATTTTATTAAGCAGTTTATAGTCTTCTAAAAGTTTTACTATTAAGTTGCTAAGCAAACTTTTTTCCATATAGAAAAAGCAAGTAAGCTTCAGCCCAAGTCACTTTCTGAATTATAACCCATTCCAATTGGTGGAGTTCAGTTAATGTGGCTTTATGGTAATAAATTATTCAACCTTTATTTCCATGTTATGCAGGGGAAAAAAAACTGGAAATAAATCCTTTCACAAGGATTACCAAAAGACAACCATTTTGATGAGATTCCACTTCTGAACTTAACTGCTATTCAAATAAAATGGTGTCTCCACACCCATTGCCCTTCACAGCAGAGTGTGTGCTGCCATCTACTGATGTTAGGTAAGTATACTAGAGGCCTTGTTTACCATTCTCAATCACAAAACAAGTTTTTAAAGTTATCTTTTCCATTAGTTATTATAATTTGCTTTTGTAAATTATGATAGATAAAAAACACTGTGACACAGTAGGGAGAAAGTTTTTAAAAATCAGCAAATCAAAATCAAAAGAAAAAAAAGCAGTACCAGAACAATTTCCTACCAGAACTTCCTAAATAAGAAAGAAACTATTCATTTTAAAGTACAGGTTTTAAGAACACTAAATACTTGCATTTGAAAATAGCATTTATGGTTTCAGTTCAGTGACAGAAAAGCCCATCAATATATTTTCTGACTAAGTGAACTCCCACCATTAAAAGATTATCCTTTTAGCAAAATGAAGATTTTGATTTCTGAGAAAAAGTAAAATAATTATCTAAACTGATATCAGTTCTATATGAGGGTGAATTAGGAAAAAGGCTTTGAGTGAGGAATGCTGAGGGAGGCGCGAGGCAAGGAGTCGGTGATTGTGGGGCCCAGAGGAAGGAGATTGAAGACAAATTTCCTGTATTACACAACTTTACTGACAGTCACTGGCTTTTGAAATTTGTCACTAAAATGTGGGCGTTTCCTTTTTTATTATACTTTAAGTTTTGGGGTACATGTGCAGAACGTGCAGTTTTGTTACATAGGTATACACGTGCTATGGTGGTTTGCTGCACCCATCAACTTGTCATCTACATTAGGTATTTCTCCTAATGCTATCCCTCCCCTAGCCCCCCACACCCCGATCCCAGTGTGTGATGTTCCCCTCCCTGTGTCCATGTGTTCTCATTGCTCAACTCCCACTTATGAGTGAGAACATGCAGTGTTTGGTTTTCTGTTCTTGTTTCTTTATTTTTCAACAGATCGGGACAGACCACAATGAACAAGCCAGACCCAGGCTCTTTGTCTATGTAAAACCGAAAGATGACCTGTTCATTTCAGCCAATAATGATTCTTGGTCTGGCCACCACACTCAGTATCTGCATGGAAGATGAAGAATAGCTCTGTGGTCTAGGCTGCCCACCTCTTAGTAACCGGACCCCTGACACTGAAGGTGAGGATGGTTTAGTAGAGGCTGCCATCTACTCTTCATCATGCTTATGAGGTCCACTCTGGTATGGGATATTGGCCATCTTTCTACTTCCCTGTTTCCCTTTTTCCTCTCTTTTGCCTCTCAGCACAGGCTGCTCTACTTTTTCCCCAAGCTCCAATGGGGCCCTTGAATCCAAGATACTTGATGGCTTCTGTACAGTAATCATACATGTGGGATTACTCCTGGTTTCAATCATTCTGTCACACTGGTAAGACCCCATAACCCCATTTTTATGCTGAAAAATATGATTGCTCTCACTCTAAAAATAGCATAATAACAATTTTATACTACTGTTTATTGTGCTAGATGTCTTATCTACTTTAACTCATTTAGTCCTCACACAACCCCCATTATGTAGGTACAATTATTATCTCCATCTTTCAGATAAAGAAAATGATGTTTGGAGATGTTAAGTGACTTGACTAAGGACATACAGCTAGTATAAGTCTATGACTCAGACCCAGTGATGACTTATTTCAAAGCTTGACCCATTGTATTATATTATTAAGGCTTTATACTTATGTAGTAATAATTACCACTTACTGAGCCCCTGTGATGTACCTGGTACTGTTGCTGGGGTTTTTATATTATCATTATCCCCACTTTTTAGATGAGAAAATGGAGGTCCAGAAAATTTAAATAACTGGCCCTAAGTGACACAGCTAATAGCAATGGGTCTGTGATTTAAATGTAGATCCTTCTGACTCCAATATCCGACCTCTTAACCATAGAATGAGCTCCTTAAAATCCATCCTATAGACAGAGTCTTGAAATGTAGTAATGGGTTAGGCTTGGTGGCTCCTGCCTGTAATCCCAGCACATTGGGAAGCTGAGGCAGGAGGACTGCTTGAGCTCAGGAGTTCAAGACCAGCCTGGGCAACACAGCAAGACCCCATATGTACAAAAAATAAAAAAAAAAAAATAGCCAGGCATGGTGGCGTATACTTAAAATTATAGCTACCTGGGAGGCTGAGGTGGATTGTTTGAGCCCACGAGGTCAAGTTTGCAGTGAGCTATGATTGTGCCAGTGTACTCCAGCCTGGGTAACAGAGCCAGACCTTATCTCTTACAAAAATGTAATTTTGTAAAAATGTAGTTATGATTCTTATCTCCATTTCACAGGTTAAAAATTGAGGCTCAGAGGAGTTAAGTCACTTGTCTGAAGTTATCCTTAGACAAAGGTGTAATGGCAAAGAGAAGGCACAGAGAGGGTAATGGTGGAGCAGGAAAGTCTGACTTTGTGGACTTTAGAGTATAGTTCACTGGATCTGCTTCATGAGAAGCACTGCTCCATTTCTCAGCAGGTTCACCCTGACAAAATCTACAAATTCAATGTAAGGTTGGCAGTCACAGGTGGCCTGCTGGCTAGAGGGAAAATGACTGTCTCTATGCCCAAGCATGAAGTCCAGTAGAGAAAAAAAAAAAACCCACTTAATTCTTAATTAAAATGTATCAAATTAGCTTTCCCTTCTTCACCAAGTTGCTCAGTGTAGAGCAGAATAAACAACAAATAATAAGGACACAGCTCTAGCACGATTAGAGTTTACAAGCAAAACAAGATTTTGGTCCAAGAAAATAATGCTTGTTTCTCTGTCAACTAACTTAACAAAACTATACAAGCATTTTTGTTGTAATACATCCATTGAGATTTGAAACAGATACCAAATAACAGTCATTTTATTAAAGCAAGGCTGTTGGATTTTTAAAATCTGATATAATCACATAGGTCATGTCTACATATGCAAAATAAGGAAAAACATTGTGGCAATTGTCTGAATAATTGAACTTAAATTATTCCAGGCAATTCTTTCATTTCATTCTTCCTTTTTACAAAAATAGACAGTTGGGATATGCAGAAGCAAAGTAGGTAGGTAATGGAAAAGGTGTAAGCTTTGAAGGTAAACAGGTCTCAGTTCAAACTTTGGCTGTGCCACACATTAGTTTGGTGACTTGGTCAGTTAAGCTTTTTAAAGCTTACTTTCATTCACTGATCTGTAAAATGAGGATATTAGGATCAGCTGCAAGGAACTACTGTGAAACTATGATAATGTATGTAAAGTGGCCCACCCAGAAGGTACCCAATAAATGAGAATTACTATTGCTGTTATTACAGCAAATGGTTAGTATCAGTGCTAGTGGCATATTTAATCATGAATAGTAAAGTCAGCAAAAATCTAGCAATTGTAGTTCTGAGTGCTCACTGACAGCTGCAACTCCGACCTTTGCCTTTCCAAATGCATCTAACTCAAATGCCTCAATTTCAGTACTGTTGACATTTTGGACTGAATAATACTTTACTGTAAGGTGGACGGAGGGTAGCTGTCCTATGCACCGTAGGATGTTTAGAAGCATCCTTGGCCTCTACCCATTAGATGCTACTAGCAATCTCTGAATCAGGACAATAAAAATAGTCTTCAGACGTTGCTAAATGTCCTTGGGAGGGCAAAATCATCCTACCACCACCTCTGCAGAGCCTCCCTGTGGCCTATAGTGGGAATTACTCTCTTCCTTTTCTGAGGTCTTTTAAATAAAAATATACATGAAACGAGATTCTCTTATGCTGTAATTGTATCATATTATTAAATCGTATTTTCCAAAAAAGATTAAATTTCTTGATGACAGGAAAGTTTCATTCTGTTGTGTCCTGCAAAGTTTCTTGTATAGAACAGACAAGTAGGAACTCAGTAAAGACGTATTTGTTTACTTATTTTTTTCATTCATTCCCTCAACAAACATTTGCCGTATGCCTTTATGTAATAGGCATGAACTAGGAGTTGGACATGTAAGGAAAAAAGGGCACAGTCCCTGCTCTTAAGAATCTCACAGTGTAGTGAAGAAGTCAGACTAATATGGTTTGATATTTGCTCCAATAAAAGTGGTAAGGAAGAGACGCCCTTAACTTGGACTGGGAGAGACAAGCAACATTTTTCTGAGGAGGCAACTTTTGAGCTGAGTTTTGAAGGATGAGTAGGAGTTAGTCAAACTGGGGGTTGGAGGGGGAGGGTACTTATTGCTGATATCTAGCAATTTGTTAGAGGCTTTTATAGTATGAGTTTAATGAATATGCTTTACAAACCTTTGACTTTTCAGCAGATAATTCATTTTTTTTTTATCTTCTTGACCCAGAAAAGTAACTAGAAGGTAAGTGTTTTCTAAAATTGGGGCAACAAGTGTGTACACACAAGTATGTACATACTAATGACATTGTGGAAGGAAGCTACTAGCATTTGCTAGTTCTGTCTCTCCTGCCACATAGAAATGCTTCTGAATTAAGGGAAAAAGCTATATTATTTGTTGTTACAAGTTTTGATTGACTGTGTTGGGCTTTGAGGTTAACATATCTATCATCACTGATTAGTTGAGGGCCCTTGGGTTATGATCATAACATATTTTATCAGACTATTCTATCTCTTTTGAAGATGTAATATTAAAACTTGCTACTTAATTTGTCTTATCAATTTTCATCTCAATTGATTCCTTCAAGTAAAAATATTTAGTTCCTGTCAAATTAGGAGTGGAAGGAGAAAGTGTTCTGGCATATGCAGTGAGTCCCAAATTTTTCATCTCATGATTTTGGGAAGTCTGGAGTTCATATAAGCAGATTAAAACTTTCAAAGGATCAATTCCCATTTTAAATGGTTTACGAGAAACACTCCCATGAAGAAAGTAATCATGGCAAAAAGTACTCACTTAGCTTCTCTAAGATCTCCTCATCTGTCATCTTGGATTTTTTTCTTTGCCGATCTGTGTTCCTGTACAAAGTACTGGAATTGGCATTTTCAGCAGAGGGTGGTGTGACTTCTTTATTTGGTGCTGCAGGTGAAGCAATGGATTCAACCACAGAACGAGTGTAGATCTAAAAAAACAGAAAGTTCTACAATTAAAACAGCAGGCCAAGGAAAGAGTGTGAAGTCAATGTATTGTAATATCAATGAATTTTTAAAGACAAGTGGTATTTTCTTAAAAAAAAAAAAAGGACTTTGAGTAGCTGAAAGTACAACACTATTGAAAGATCATGGGAGCTAGTCTTTGGATGTCCCTATACATGCCTTGCTAAATGTGGTCTGAGGACCTCTGTTTATGCAATTCTTCCTACCTGGTTCACATGGATTTCCTTCCTTATCTTCTCCAACATTTTTATTACTTAGCAGTTATGTATTGTTTGGTATTATTCTCTAATTGTTTAATGTGCTAATCTTGTATCCTCAAACAGCATCCTCAAAACCTTGGTCATATTTTATACTCTAGCTCTTAGAACATAAAAGATGCTTAATAGGTAGCAGTAGATTAACTATATTCTAACTCTATGACTATTCCAAAGGGCATCTTTTGAATCATTTGGAAATAGTCCTTTGTGACTTACTGATTTTGTATGCTCTGGTCTTGGTGCGATAACTGGTGGTGGCTCATTGTCATCTTCTTCTTCTTCCTCCTCTTCATCTTCTTCTTCAGACACAGGAGGGGCCAATGGAGGCTCAGATGCTGTTTTTGTACTCTTGTGACAAAAACAAAGTTTATAGATCAGGTATTAACTCCTTTGTTTTGTTTTTCTTCAGAAATAAAACAAAGGAAATGAAAATATTTAAGCATGTAGGGATAGAAGGAAACTACATCTTTCACAAATGATCAGAATCATCAACAATTTGGTGGCCAGGGCTTGCTCACCTGAATATAATCTCTGAACTTGTTCAGAGATAAATTCATGTCATGGCTTAAAGAACCATGAAGTGTATTTTTTAAAAAAAATTTCTCATTGAGCTGAAAAACAGTGGACTATTATTCACTTAATATTTTAAAGTTCAATGTTTTTGAAATACATTAAAAATCAAACTAATTGCTCTTAGAGCCTTGATTCTATACTGGGAAGATTATCAATTTATTGATTGACAGTTTGTCCACTTGAAAAGAACTATTTTCTACCTAAGGATCAGAGCATGCATATGCATATTGTATTAATATAGCTCTGTAAATACTCTCTAAGAACAAGCAAGCCAATAAATGTCTCTTCCCTGTCCAGCCTCCTGGAAAGAAGCACTCAGAGAGTAATAGACATGAAGATCTAAAGAATACTCATCCACATGAATAATCACTCAATATTAACCATGAGTTAAATGGAGATTTTCGATGTTTTATAAACTGCAATAATACGACAGTATTGTGGTACAATAGCAATAATACCTAAGGACAGTTCTTGATCATTCATGTTAATACAGTGGTAAAATGGTTCCAAAGTTTGATTTTGAAAGACCCATGGCCATGGTTCTCAAAGCTTGGTTCCCGGATCAGCATCATTAGTATCATTAAGGAACTTGTTAGAAATGCAAATTTTCAGGCTCCATCCAGACCTATGAATCAAAACTCTGGAAGTGGAGCCCAGTGATCTGTGTTATAACAAGCCTTCCAGGTGATCCTGATGCATGCTCAAGTTCAAAAACCATGAACTATGGCTCAGGTCTGCACTGTTTAATATGGCCACATAGCAACCAGCCACATAAGGCTACAGAACACTTAAAATGTGGCCAGCCTGAATTGAGATGTGTTTCAAGTGTAAATTACATCCCAGATATTGTATACTTAATATAAAAAAATTGTAAAATGTTAGATTAATATTTCTTATATTGATTATATGTTGAAATGCTGGTATTTTGAATATATTGGCTTAATATATTATTACAATTTATTTCACCTATTTTTTACTTTTTAATATGTGGTTACTAGAAAATTTAAAGTTATGAATATAGTTTATATTTCTGTTGGACAGTGCTATTATAGGTGTTTTTTTGTTTGTTTTTGGTTTGTTTTTGTGTATTTATTTTGTTTTTGTTTATGCCACTGGGTATACTGGCCTAACATAATCCGACAATGAATTTTCATTCTTTGAGGACAAAGCTCCTGAGGCAGTTACAGGCAGCCTGTTAATAGACCATTACATCAAAGGACCTCAATCATGATTAAAAACTCAATATGGCTTTTCTACAATCATGTATAAACATATGGTGAAGTAATAAGGTGTAATCATACATCTGAAAGGAGCCAGAAAGACTTATCAATTGTGAGAAGAAAGACAACCTAGAATTTATAAACAAGCATTTGAAAGAATATTTTATTGCCCTGATATAGATGCTAAGTGGTTTATAGATTGAAGTTTGTATGTTTACTGAACATTGGTTTTCTTGTTTATGCAGCTATATTGATTCTTAATTTAGCCATAACAGCTGGGCTATTACATTGTATAGTTATGTGGATAGCAACATCTGTTAAAGACATTAAGTTTCCAGGTTTTTAAAAAAATCACTTTCTTCTTGCAAAACACTAATTCTTCAGGGGACTTCAGTGGGCACAGGGAGAAACGGGCTTTGGGTTATTGAAATTTGCTTTGATATTATGTTCCAGAAAGTTTTGCCCTATCTTATACCAGCCGGTTTCAGGAATGTACCTAATCACTGTTTCTTTGTAGAAGGGTGGAAGCTGAGTACTTTTTTATATGGCAAATGGTGCTATTTTATCCATTAGGCAATATGAACTTTGCCCAGGGTTGATAAGTTTTACGTGGGCCTATGAAAGTGTTTGCCATCAGAAATAAATCATCAGCTCCAAAAAGCCAGAAGAAAACTATAAAGTCAAAATTAGTTAATGTCTGATTAAATGTCTGTTAAGTATAACAATATGCCAACTTAACTAGTCTCTTATGTCTAGCATTTATAGAAATTTCATTATATTAAATATAAATTGTAGGTTAGATTTTCATATTTAGCAATAATTCTTGAATATTTACAATGATTTAACAAGAAATTATACCTAATCATACATTTTAAAAGTTACTTGTAAGAAATAATTTCAAAATTAATATTTCAAAAATAATTTCAAAAATTTATAGCAAAAATATAAAGTGAAGTATGGGGGCCCTTTAATATGTTTAAAGCAATGCATGATGTGACCTCTACAAGTGAGAGTATATACAGTCTATTAGGCTCTAAAAACAGCCCTAGAGGCAAAAAGAATGATTCAAAGTCTAGTCTTCTTGGTCCAAACCTTAAACTGGTACAAAGACCAGTCAATGTCTGCTGGGCAAGGGGCAAGCTTACACATTTCAAGTCTTAATATTTCACTAGATAAGATCCACCTGCAAGATTTCACTGACTGTTAACATTCATTACTATCTTCACAGCTAATCTCCAATGGAAGCCATTCCCCATCTCCAAGGATAGACTTAAGGGACTATTAGAAAACCTGAAGGTTTGTAGGAAAAGAAAAAGACAGATATTTCTGTTTACTTTGGACCAAACACTATCCTGCCATATTGGTTGGTTGACTTGGAAGAATGTATGGCATTGAGTGGATAGTATGTTTTGAATTATGGTTGGGCCAGAGAGCGTTAAAACCCCAGCAATCCACCAAGGATACCAATCTTCGGTACTGAGAACTGAAATTAACAATTTCTGCCCGTGTTAAAAAATACTGGGATCGGGCATACTTTACTATCACCGTGTAAACAGTACTGGGACTGGGCATATTTCATTTTCCCTGTGTTAGGCAATATCCAGACAGACATACTTTAATGTTCTTATGTTAAACAATACTGAGAATAAGTAAAAATAACATAGCTTCTTACTTTAGGAAATACTTGTTTCTAGAAGATACCGTGAACCAACTAATTTGCTCATCGAGACTAACAGCTTGCTCACTAAAACTTGCTTCAAGCCCCTTCCTTTGCTATATTCACCAATACAAAGCTATTTTATCATAAACACTGCACAATGTTAACCCATTCCTCACCTTGCAAGACCTGCTTTAAAATCAAACAGTCTAAGCCCTAACACCCTATAAATAATCCCTTCTGACATCTCCTTCTTAAGACACTAAGACTTTATCAAAGTAATGCTTTTATGTCACTCTAATTTTAATAAACATAGCTTTACTTAGAGGTTTTCTGGGTGATCATTTTTGGAGTCAATGGTGCAATGTTTCCATACTCTTCATTCCAGGCTGAGAATTACTGTATCTAAAACTTCTAAACTTATAGAAATATAGATAGATGGATAACAAGTAAGGAATATTTTTGTCATCAAATTAGATATTTTTGACACTCTAATTTTGCCAGACATTGGGGCAGGGAATATAGTTCTTTGTTTTGTTTTGCTTTTTGAGATGGAGTTTCGCCATTGTTGCCCAGGCTGGGGTGCAATGGCACGATCTCTGTTCACTGCAACCTCCACCTCCTGGGTTCAAGCAATTCTCCTGCCTCAGCCTCCCAAGGAGCTGGGATTACAGGCATGTGCCATTATGCCCAGCTAATTTTGTATTTTTAGTAGAGATGGGGTTTCTCCACGTTGGTCTGGCTGGTCTCGAACTCCTGACCTCAGGTGATCCACCCGCCTCGGCCTCCCAAAGTGCCGGGATTACAGATGTGAGCCACCGCGCCTGGCTGGGAATATAGTTCTTAACCTGAGTTGGGTCCCAGACTCTTAGGGTTTGGTCTATCTCCCCAGAAAAATACAGGTAGACACATTCTTTTACATATAACTTCAACAGTTCATAGATCTGAAGCCCACCCATGAACTCCAAGTTCTGAACATTGCTTTAGAGAATACACCAGCTAGAGTATGTACACACCAGTAGAGAACCTTAGGAAATTCCCTTTTCTCTGAGCTTAATTTTCCAAGGCCAAAGAACTTAGAGGTAAGGAACTTAGAGGCTTTAGACAATATAAAATGTTGTTTGGGGGCCACTTCTGGTGATTGTTTAGAATGTGGATTTTAGGTTTCTACTCCAGATCTACTCTGGAAGTGGAGCCCTGGAATCCTCAATTTAACAGAATCCCCAGGAAATTCTGATGCACACTGAAGTAAAGGAATTAAACTACGTTAAAAAAAAATTAGCCAGTACTGCAAATCACAAAAGAGCAATCTGTCAACTGCACACCCAGTTGCTCTAAGCACAGATAATGGCACATTCAATATGACAACACAATAATGACATATTATTGCTGTTACCTTCCACTTGGAATACTAACTTAGGATTCTAAATATGTCATTTTATTTTCAACAGTACAACAAAAATATGAAATTTTAAAATTAGCCTCAAATTAAAGAGTAGGGGCCTGAACAGTATTTGAAATTGAATACACTAATATCAAAGAAGCTAATACAAATAAGCAGTAAAGCAGGTGTTATATGACTATGACATCTCTCCCTGAGTTCAATATTAATTACAGAATCATGAGTTTAAAACATTTAGAGAATACAACATTGCTTCTGTTTTAATTCTCACCCAGGCTACTAAAGGATGCAAAACTTGTGATCAGTTCAGGCTATGTCTACAAGGGTTTGTCAGACCCATTAAATTAGATTTTGTAGACAGCCAGATCTATTGGGAGTTTTTATGATGCAAAAAGACATACACATTGCGAAGCATACTCTCTTCTAAAACTATAAGGAAAACATAAGGTGCAGTTATCCATTCCTAAGGAACTGAGTCCCACTGAAGTGATTCAAATAGAATGTCGGGGTCCAATTCAGTTCATTCAATCAATAGAAACCTAGCCTTCATCAAGCCATCAATCCATTATCTTCACCTGAAAGTCCTGCCAGCCCTTCAAACTCAAACTGTCTAATAAGGAACTCAGCATCTTCCCACAGAAATCGGCTTCTCCTCAAAGACAGCATCATTATCTTTTTACCCACCAGCTATCAGTTTAAGCCTGCGTTCATCTTTGACCTCACTCTTCCCTCCAACATCCAATTAATAATCTAAATACCTCTAGAAATTGAATGTAATCTTCCCATTCCTGCTGTTACTACCTCATTTCTGGCTCTGATTACCTGGATGCTTGCAATATTCTCCCTACTAGTGTCCCTTCATCCAGTCTCACCATTTGTCCTTAATTCATTCTGGACATTTGCTGTCAGATTACTCTTCCCAAGGTCTAAGTGTTAAATCACTTAACCCTCCTGCTCCAAAACACTTCAAAAGCTTCCCACTGAATACTGGAAAGCCAGATTCCTTGGAATACCATTTAAGGGCCTGTATGATTCGGTTCCACCTTAACCTTCAAGACTTATTTCCTGATTCCCTTTCTTGCATCTCAGTCTTCATTCAACCCCATATTCTTTGTTTCCTTGCTCTACTCACCAACATACCCTTTCTTATGCTTTTCTTTTTACTTAAAATGCCCTTCCCATCTTCACAGATCGAAATCTCATCTGACCTTTAAGATCTAGCTCAAATGCCAACTTTTATATGAAGCATTTTCTAACTTAACATTCAACAAATACATACCAAGTATCTATTTGGTACCAGACACTGAGCTTCAGCCCTTGGAGACAAGGGCCTGCTTCCCTTTCCCTCCCCAGTTAAAACAATCTACTTTCTTTGAAATCTCATAGCATGTCGACATATTTTATGACATGTAATACTATCCATATTGTTGGGTTTTTTTTTTTTTGAGACAGGGTTTTGCTCTGTCACTCAGGCTGGAGTCCAGTGACAGAATCAAGGCTCACTGCAGCCTCCACCTCCAGGGCTCAAGCGATCCTCCCACCTCAGCCTCCAAAGTAGTTGGGACTACAGGTGTGCACCAACATGCCCAGGTAATTTTTGTATTATTTGTAGAGACAGGGTTTTACCATGTTACCCAGTTTGCTCTCCTAGGCTCAAGAATCTGTCCACCTGAACCTCCCACAGTGCTGGGATTACAGGCATGAGCCACTGTACTCGGCCACTATCCATATTGTTTTGTACTTCTTTATGTCCATGTTTACCTTCCCCTACCAGCCTGATAGCCAAACTTCCTAGAGCTTATAAGGAGACAGTTGGTAAATATATGTTAAATAGGTAAATATCTATTTGTTTTATCTCCAGACAGTGAGATCATCATTTTTTTCTAACTTAATGGAATATTTTAGCCATAATATAGACTTCGTTTTAATTCTACAAGCAAAACCAATAGAACCAATCTCAAAAGAAACAGTTAATATCTCAGGAGAAAACAAAAACCAATACACAGGCTATCCCAGAAAGTTGGTGTTTCAAATAACCGACCAACCTAAAAAAAAAAAAAGTATTTTTTTTTTTTTTTTTGCCAGAATACCCAGTCAAGATTGCACAAGCATGACATTAATGAAATCAAAGCAGGTAAAGTATGTGTTATCATGGAGGGTTGTCATTTTTGTCCTTCTCATTTTCCTATTGCCTCCCTTCACATGTTGTTTTCATTGTGGCCCAGGAAGCTATCATGGCAAAGATGGAGGAAAAGAGGAAATGGCCAGTCAGATGAGAAGGCCATATTCTGTTCTGTTTTGGGGAATCCGAGCAAAGCGCAAGTACAAGTTTCATGTGTGAAAAGAGTGAGTTTTTCCTCTTTTGTCATGTAAAAATAACAGTAGTTTACATTTAATAAATACATATTATGTGCTAGGTACTATACTAAGTACTTTATATGCATTATCACATTTAATATTCACACAAGACCTAGGAGGTAAGTACTATTATTATTCCCTCTTAAAGCTGAGGAAAGAAGCTCAGAGAAGCTAAGCTACTTTCCCAATGTCATATACTTAGTAAATAGCGAAATCAGATTAAATACCTACATCCAGAGCCTACACTCTTTCTTTTTTCATTTTATTCTTAATTGTAGTAAAATATATATAACATAAAATTTACCATCTTAACCATTTTTAGGTATACATTTCAGTACTGTTGAGGATATTGTTGTATAATGATCAAAGCCATTCATCTCCATAACTCTTTTCATCTTGTAAAACTGAAACTCTGTACCATTAAACAACTCCCCACTCCCCCTGCTCCCAGCTCCTGGCAACTAGTATTCTACTTTCTGTCTCTATGAATTTGACTCCTTTAGGTACCTCGTATATGTGGAATCATATAGTATATACCCTTTTGTGACTGGCTTATTTCATTTAGCATAATGTTTTCCTGGTTCATCCATGTTGTAACATGTGTCAGAATTGTCTTCTTTTTAAGGCTTAATAATATTCTACTGTTTATACATACCATCTTTTGTTTACCCCTTCATCTGTTGATGGACACTTGGGTTGCTTCCACCATTTGCCTACGGTGAATATTGCTGCAATGAACGTGGGTGTATAAATATCTCTTGGAGATCCTGCATTCAATTATGGGTATATACCCAGAAGTGGAATAGCTAGATCATATGGTTAATACCATCTTTAATTTTTGAGAAGCTGACATAACATTTCAGAACCTTTACTCTTTACAACTAAAGAAGATCTACTGGTGTCATACTGGCTACCTAGGGTTATGTCAAGCAGACATCTGTCCACTATAAAAGGCATTTGTCTGCTATAAAAGGAAGAAGAATCAGCTTGGCCATCCATGACTGTTTGAATAAATGGTTAGGAGATTTTCAGTAATGCAAATTATTTCACCCCTAAAAAAGCAAATGAGGCAGGAAGTAATTTCTATCAGAATATCTGAGATCATTTTCTGTCTAATGTGTTCAAATACTCTTTCAGATACTATAGCACTTTCAACAACTAGGTTACTTATTTTCTAGTCACTTCTCTGATAAAAATTATCTATGTGACTTTGGACAAAGTCACTTCCCTCACTGTACCTCGGTTTGTTGGAACAAGTGACATACAAAACTTATACTGTTATAACCTTAGAGAAGCTATTTAATTTCTCAAAACCTCAGTTTCCTCATCTGTAAAATGGGGACAATGGTGAGACTTACTTAATTGGGCTGTAGGAAAGATTAAGTACTTATAAAAATAAAATTATCTTACAGTTTGTATTGTAAGTGTACACTGTAGGTGTTGAGAGAAATTTTTATTAACATGATTATTATTCTCAAAGTTCTACATGTAAGAGAAACGGAAACATTGTTCACATAAAAACCCTGTACAAGAATGTTCCCAGTAGCTTTATTTGTAATAGCTAGCAACTGAAAATTTTCTAGAGAGACTTCGATGTATGAATGGTTAAACAAACAGTGGTACAATCATACCGTGGAATACTCAGAGATAAAAAGGAACACAAATTATTGATATACACAATAACTTGGATTAATCTTAAAAGAATTAAACTGAGTAAAAAAAGCCAATCCCCAAAAGTCACATGCTGTATTATTTCATTTACATGAAATGTCCAGAAAGCCAAATCCATAAAGGCAGAATCTATATTAGTTCTTGCCTGTGACTAGGGTGGGGTGAGTGGAGTTAACTGTAAGCCGGTACGAAGGATTTTACTGGGGTGATGGACATGTTCTAAAACTCAGTTGTGGTGATGGTAGCACAGGTATATATATTTACCAAAACTCATTGAACTGTTTACCTGAAAATAGGTGAATTTTATATAACTGAATTATACCTTAAAACTGTTTTTAAAAGACTCTATATCTAAAACCTGGATCTATGCAGTTATATTCTCTTGAATCTTTGGAAACACCCATCATGTGAAACAGTTTTCAATTTTTCACTTACCGAAGGATGGGCTGCTATGTATCCATGTGCACTTTTATCTGAAAAGTGAGAATAGAGAGGTTACTTTTGTTTCACAAAGACTGTTTCATTCAGAGACCACACCAGAAAAATAAAAATGAAAAAACTGCATGATTTCAACTAGAAGGAAATGTTTCAATTTAGTATTAACTAGATATTATGACTAACGACATAGCTTTTCTTAAAATAGCTCACACCATTACATCCTCACCATACTCTTACTAGGTCATTTTACAGACATTAATGAAGGCCTCTGGTGAATCTCATTTATATGGAAGAATGACAAGATTACCTACTCTTAACTGATATGATTCTATACATCTATAGTAGTCCCCCTTATCTGAAGTTTCACTTTTTGTGGTTTCAGCTACCTGTGGTCAACTGTGATTCAAAAATATTAAATCAAAAATTGCAGAAATAACCAATTCATGAGTTTCAAACTGCATGCCATTCTGAGTATGATAAAATATCATGCTGTCCTGCTCCATTCCACCTGAAACATGAATCATCCCTTTGTCCAGTGTACCCACTCTGTTTACACTACCAGCCTACTAGTCACTTAATAGCCAGTTTGGTTATCAGAACAACTGTGGAGCTATCACAGTGCCTGTAGTCATATACCCCTTATTTTACTTCATAATGGCCCCAAAGAGCAAAAGTAGTGATGCTGGCATATTGTTATAATTGTTCTATTTTATTATTAGTTATTGTTGTTTATCTCTTACTGTGCTTAATTTATAACTTTATCATAGGTAAGCAGGTATAGACAAAAAACATGGTATACATAAGGTTCAGTACTATCCATGGTTCCAGGCATCCACTGGAGGTCTTAGAACATATTCCACGTGAGTAAGTGGGGAACTACTCTATATCTAGGATTTTTCCCACTTTCCTCTTTCCCTACCTCCTTTCCATTCCTTCTTTCCACCTTCCTGTGCTATCTCCATCTTCTCCTCCTCTTCTCCTGTGCAATTAGTCAGTCCCAATACCAAAGCATTCAGAAAACCTATGATGAGGTACACTCAGCCTTCAGTACAGTACAACTATACAGTTTTAATATAGTTGTCAGGATTTCATCTTTGTAAGTTGAGAGAAATTTGGCATATAAAACTAAGTGTTAAACAGCAATGGCTATTTGGAGTAAAGAACAAACTCTGATACTCTAAAGTGTATTCATGGTTACAGTGAAATGATTTCTTGAATACATTTTCAGTTCTGGTTGCCTATGGGTCTAACTTGGAGCACAGCTCTTGATTTTCTCACATGAAACATTTTTTGATATGTCACCAGGATCTCTTAGATATTTTATTCTATGTGGAAGCTTAAATATAGTAAAAAGTTTTCCTTGATGGCTTTCTTTTTAGGTTTTCAACACTGAATAACAGCAGTTAAGCAATCTTCTCATTTTAAGAAAGTCCAGTTTAGCAGTTTGGGCTTTGATATTTGATATGGCCAAATCAGACACTCTTCCCCTTCCAAGGGTATCCTTGGATCATTCTCAAAGAAACTTAAAGCCTGCTTATACTAAATCCAGTGCCAAGAGGTAGGGGCTCTTTATAGCTGGAGTACTAATGATAATACTCCCTTCATTCTTTAGATGTTAAATAATAAGTTAATAAATTATTGTAGAGAGAGAACTCAAATCATCTATCTCAAAATGTGAAAGTATTATTTGGTATATATATTTCAGTTGCTGATATGGCTTGCCTGTGTCCCCACCCAAATCTCAACTTGAATTCTATCTCCCAGAATTCCCAAGTGTTGTGGGAGGGACCCAGTGGGAGGTAATTGAATCATGGGGGCCGGTCTCACAAGATCTGATGGGTTTATCACGGGTTTCTGCTTTTTGATTCTTTCTCATTTTCTCTTGCTGCTGCCATGTAAGAAATGCCTTTTGCCTCCCACCATGCTTCTGAGGCCTTCCCAGCCATGTGGAACTGTAAGTCCAATTAAACCTCTTTTTATTCCCAGTCTTAGGTATGTCTTTATCAGCAGCCGGAAAATGGACTAATACAGTAAATTGGTACCAGTAGAGTGGGGCGTTGCTAAAAAGATACCCAATAATGTGGAAGTGACTTTGGAACTGGGTAACAGGCAGAGATTGGAACAGTTTGAAAGGGCTCAGAAGAAGACAGAAAAATGTGGGGAATTTGGAACTTCGTAGAGGTTTGTTGAATGACTTTGTCCAAAATGCTGATAGCAATATGGACAATAAAATTCAGGCTGAGGTAGTCTCAGATGGAGATGAGGAACTTTTGGGAACTGGAGCAAAGGTGACTCTTGTTATGTTTTAGCAAAGACACTGGTGGCATTTTGCCCCTGTCCTAGAGATTTGTGGAACTTTGAACTTGAGAGAGATGATTTAGGATATCTGGTGGAATAAATTTCTAAGTAGCAAAGCATTCAAGAAGTAACTTGGGTATTGTTAAAGGCATTCAGTTTTATAAGGGAAACAGAGCATAAAAGTTTGGAAAATGCGCAGCCCGACTATGTGATAGAAAATAAAAACTCATTTTCTGGGAAGAAATTCAAGCCGGTTGCAGAAATTTGCATAAGTAGCAAGGAGCCTAATGTTAATCCCCAAGACCATGGGGAAAATGTCTCCAGTCCATGTCAGAGAACTTCACGGCAGCCCCTCCCATTACAGGCCCATAGGCCCAGGAGGAAAACGTGGTTTGTGGGCCAGCTCCAGGGTCCCTGTACTGTGTACAGCTTGGGGCTTGGTGCCCTGTGTCCTAGCTAATCCAGCTTTATCTGAAAGGGGCCAACACACAGCTCAGGCTGTGACTTCAGAGGGTGGAATCCCCAAGCCTTGGCAGCTTCCACGTGGTGTTGAGCCTGCACATGCACAGAAGTCAAGAATTGAGGTTTGGGAACATACACCTAGATTTCAGAAGATGTACGGAAATGCCTGGATGCTCAGGCAAAAGTTTACTGCAGGGTTGGGGCCCTCATGGAGAACCTCTGCTAGGGCAGTGCGAAAGGGAAATATGGGGTCAGAGCCCACACACAGAGTCCGTACTAGGGCACTGCCTAGTGGAGCTGTGAGAAGAGGGCCACCATCCTCCAGACCCCAGAATGGTAGATTCACTGAAAGCTTACACCATGCACCTGGAAAAGCCACAGACACTCAACAGCAGCCTGTGAAAGCAGCTGGGAGGGAGGCTGGAACCTGTAGAGTTACAGGGGTGGAGCTGCCCAAGACCATGGGAATCCACCACTTGCATCAGCATGACCTAGATGTCAGACCTGGAGTCAAAGGAGATCATTTTGGAGCTTTAAGATTTGACTGCCCCGCTGGATTTTGGACTTGCATGGGCCCTGTAATCCCTTTGTTTTTGCCAATTTCTCCCATTTGGAATGGCTGTATTCACCAAATGCCTGTACCCCTATTGTATCTAGGAAGTAATGAGCTTGCTTTTGATTTTACAGGCTCATAGGCAAAAGGGACTTGCTTTGTCTAAGATGAGACTTTGGACTGTGGACTTTTGGGTTAATGCTGAAATGAGTTAAGACTTTGGGGGACTGTTGGGAAGGCGTGATTGGTTTTGAAATGTGAGGGCATGAGATTTGGAGGGGCCAGGGGCGAAATGATATGGTTTGGCTGTGTCCCCACCCAAATCTCAACTTGAATTGTATATCCCAGAATTCCCACATGTTATGGGAGGGACCCAGGGAGAGGTAATTGAATCATGAGGGCTGGTCTTTCCCATGGTATTCTCATGAAACTGAATAAGTCTCATGAGATCTGATGGGTTTATCGGGGTTCTTCACTTTTTTTTCCTTCTCATATTCTCTTGCTGCTGTCATGTAAGAAGTGCCTTTCACTTCCCACCATGATTCTGAGGTCTCCCCAGTCATGTGGAACTGTAAGTCCAATTAAACCTCTTTTCCTTCCCAGTCTTGGACATGTCTTTACCAGCAGCATGAAAATGGACCAATACAGTTGCTTATAGTGCAAATTCGAACATCAAAGCTCCAAACAAAGACTAAATCTACACACTAGCAAATGAGGTCAAGATTTGGCAATAACATGGATATTTCAATTTCTAAACATAGTGAGATATAGTTTTCTCTTTTCGGTCTGATTTGGGGGTCTTATCAAAATAACCTGACACCAAACAAAATGTGTGCTGTGTCATCATGCTGCAAATCAATGAATCTAAGGGACAAAATAAATTTCCAGAGACCATGGTTTCATGCATGCAACTCTTACTTAATGAACATATCACAAAGCTCGATAAATGACTGAGTGTCTTTATGACAGTAAAGAGACAACAATTGTCACTACCAATTCAAGCTCACAACTACTACTTCACTAAATAATTACCTTATTTTGATTCTAAAAATACTTGAGTTATATAACTTAACATCAACCTCAAATTCTGACTCATTTTTTGGTTTCCTTATGTTGATGGCATTTGAAGAAGGTACTAGAACTGACTTCAAATGTCCCACAGACATTTTGTTCTCAACATCACGCTCTGAGATTGAAATTACTTCTTCACCTTTGATACCACAGACTTCCTCTTACCTCCTGATGTAAAGCTCATGTATTTCTGGTTGTTGACTGTTTCTTTGGAATCATAGAATTTGAGAACATCTAGAACAGCTTGGGGGTTCTTCTTCTGTTCCAATTTTGTTATGTTGGAGGTTTGGAGTAATCGTGCCCATTGCTCGGGAATTCCCTGTGGACAACCAAAGGGAAAGAATGGTGGCTCAGAACATTCTGCAGCAGCACTTTTATGTTCCAGTAAAGTTCTTCACCAAGAAGCCCATGCTACCTGTAGGATTACACTTGGGAAACTGAAGTTACATTCTAGATTTAAAGTTAGTAACTTAATAATGCAATCATTCTCTTCTCTAATTAAAACACATAGGTAAAACTAGGATCCAACTTAAAAAGGGTGGGTGGGAGTATGACTGTGATAGAAAAAAAAAAAGCGCATGAAAATCACCTCCATATTGACTCTGCTCATCCATGAAATGATGTTTACGGCTTAGCTTATTTTTTTTCTGGCGACTCAGGGCAGACATAGCAAGACTTCTCTAAATTTGTGCACAGCATAGTAAAGTGCAGATCAATGGGTTTTATGACTGGAATAACATAAGCTGTTTCTGGTCATGTTGTAATCAGAATATATTTTAGAATAAAAGGAAAGGATCACCCTTGGTCAGGTTATACTTCATGATTACAAAATGTAATTTTTTGGGTCTAGAGCTTTACTATAAAGTCAGGTCGGTAGGAGAAAAAAATAGAATTGTGGAGGAGCAAGAACCACTGAGATGCTAAACAGTAACATTAATGCTGCTTTGGGCATTTTCCCTGCAGCTTTCTCCAGGGCATGCCCTCCTTCTCCTCTCCTCTCTCTCTCCCTTCCTCCTCACTTCATTTTTAGGCCACATAGAACCTGGGGACTATGAAAACCACGCCAAAGCCTTGTGAGAATTTATAATAATCTGAAGCATTTAGAGCAGAGAGGAGGGAGTATTTGGAAATATAACCAAGGAGAATTGCAAAAATTAGAGGTTAGCTTTGCATTGAGCATTCAACATTCTTTCCTACATGTTCAGCCTACAGAAGTCTCAATTTCATAATTATCCAACCTCCAAGAGAAACTTGGAGAGAGAAACAGACACACTATTCCTGAAGTGCATCCAGACACAATTTATGTGGCTTTGTCCTATGAAGTCTCGGCAAAACAATGTGTGACGTGGGCCTCCAGAGTTTGGGAATGACAACAAAAAAAGTGAGATAAGCCAAGCAACAACTCTACTGCACACACATGAACCTGCTGCTGCAGTGCTATGACATCTCAAAGAAGCACTTTGATGCAAGCTTCTTTTGGGCCTGTGACGCACCTCTGGGAGCTTCCCTGGGCACATCTGTGAGCCATAGAGATCTGGCTGTAATGGACGTAAATAAAGAAAGAAAAGAAAGTTAAAACAGAATGTGGGACAACTTAGAAGGTGGGAGGAGATGAAATCAATGGGTCTGAATGGGGGGAGTCCCTTCTAAAGTGGGGCGGTTATGAAAATAGGGAGGTTTTAACTAAATCAGGGACAGGACAGGCTACAGGACAACAGATTTAAGAGAACAGAGAAAATGACAATGTTCCAAAGTTTGGATGTATAATCCCACTTTTGGCAAGATGCTTCCTCCATAAATATGTATTAATAAGAATTACCATTAAATGATTGGAGAAATTATTAAAAGGCAGAAATATGAATTTGGAGGCAAGAAGGATGGTATCATGAAAAGCTTTGACAATAGTTTGTAAGTTGTTTTTTATAATTGGGTGACCACAGGTAGCCAATGGCCATGTGAGAAACTTACAAATTTCAGTTCCCAATTCTGGTTAACCAATTTTAGTTTCAAAAGTGTGTATGTGGCTAAAATTCAAAGGATGGCTGTATGGAAACACTGAATTTTATTCTCATTGATGTGATTCTTTTTCACTTTGTAGCTAAAGTCATGGCTGGCTTAGAGAAAACTAGGTAAAGAACATTCCCACACAGCCAGACTCTATATTTTAAGTTTCTTAGATATTTAGACTAGGGAAAGGGAAACCGTTCCATTTCAAACCATATATATATAATTTCCATTTTAGTACTGCAGTTCTAAAATCCCACTTCCCACAAAATAAGACAAGATATAAGGTAACAGCTTTGCCTAAATAAAGATCTCTCAAATGCTACAGAAACATGCTTGACCCAACTGGCTTGATTTTGGATATATGTCCTTGATTCCTGGTATTTGGGGTTACTCCAAGCACAGTGAAATGACACTTTTACATGCATTTTTCACGCGGCTAGATGCTAAAGCCTTAAGCCAAAAATTTGAACTCAGGAGCCCATGCATTATCCCAGTTCTGATTCTAAGTGCAATTAATAGCATTTGGTTAATACCGTAATGGCCAAAGGAGTTATTAAGTGTTACAAATTGAGGTATGCATTGCACATTACCACTGGAGCAGACGTTACTGGTGTAATCATTACCATAATCATTAGAATATTTGCAGTTATTATACATTCCCATGGCACTTCTAAGCTTCTGTGATAAATAGTCTTATGATCACTAGACAGCAGGAAAAAATGCTGTCAATAGCAAAAAATCCTCCAGACAACTATACTTACCACATGACTACACTGCTGACATAATTTTGACTATACTGCTGACATTTCTTTTTTCTAAGTTGAGACAAACCCAATTATCAATAAAACCTGACATTCAAGTTTGAATGTATGCCACAAAGGCACATAGTCATAAAGCCATCTCATTATGCCACATTGAGAAACTAATCCCAAAAGTCAGACAGTTAATGAAGACCTAAGAGTTTGAGCATCAGAAGCAGGAGCACATATCAATGCCTGACTGTGTATATGATACCAACTAGAAGTACATCAAGCTGGGGGTTGTCCAGTGTAGCCCAGGAGAATGGCAGCATGATATAACAAGCCAAGCATTTATCTTATCATAAGAAATGATAATTTATATCACTCATACCATTTTTCCCTCTGATTGACTTGAAGCGACCGTCACAGGTCTAGAGGTCTGGAAAGGGGAGTTCTGAAGTATTTGGGACAAAAATGGCAATATAAAGGGTAAGGACCTGTAATCATTGAATACCAAAAATCTCACCTCCCAACCTACGTTTAGCTTCAGGGTCCAAGTGTATGACCAGGTATACAAACAAGGTCATATGGGCCAATTAGCCAGAGAGTAATCACCAAGCAACACAGCAAATCAGTGTCCAAATATTCAAAATAACAAGCCCTTGTAAGACAACTGGATTAGATAGTTCAGCAAATTGCACAAAATTCAACCTAAACAACCACGATAATCAAACTTAACAATATGATCCCCTCCCAACACGCAATAAATTAGTGGTGCATTGACAATTAGGACCCAATTCTAAATCCTACCAATAAAAACACTTTCTTGAAAGCTTTTTATAATTTGGCATGTTTAAATTTAATAAACATAATAATATAGTAAATGTAAACCACAGGTTAAAAAAGTACCAAAAAGGGCAGAATTTGGCATCTTTAAAAATAATGTATGAACAAGTAGTTACAAAAGATCATCAAGATGACAATAAAGTATTTCCATTTACCAAATTTAGCCTATGTCTATCTATATATTCAATGGATTCATAACAATGGAATATTTCCAAATGGCTATCTTATTTCAAATTGGGGATATTTTTAGTGGGGAGAGGGGTATTTGTTTCATATGGTTTGGCTGTATCCAACTGTTTTTCATCATTGGAAAGATAGCCTATCACTTTGGGTTCTTTGGGTTCTAATTGACAGCAAAATGAAAATGACTGGTGCTGCAGTTAGCAAGATGGTGGTGATTTACTTTCTTTCATTTCCATTCAGAATCCAGAAAGATAAATGAAAGAGCTAGAGAGAGAGATACTGTATAATAAGATGACAAGTAAGTTTGAAAAGTGGAAAGAATAAAATATTGGAAAGCAACTAGAATGTCACATGGGATAACTGGATGAGAAAATTTTCACATCAGAAAACAAAAAGGAAGAAAAAAAGAAAAATAGTGAATGACAACAATAAAACGCAAGAGTAGTTTAAATGAGGAAAAGCACAGAGAACATTAAAATGTCAAAGCTGGAAAAATTAATAAAAAAGGGAAGAGTTATTAGGCAAAACCTTTATAAAGTTTAAGGGATTTTCTTGTTTCAAGTGTCAGCAAAAATAGTTAAAATATTTGTATAATTTTTAAAAAATATAAAGTTTTTCAGGTTATACAAATTACTTTTTTTCTGGTGGTGATGATGGTGGTGGTAGTGGTAATAGCAAGGCTGGAGTATCTAAGTGTGGCTAAGAGAATATTCTGCAAATATAGTAAAGACTAGGTTCAAACTCAAAGCCATTTGAGTAATGTCTCTGACTTTAATGATGAAATTGGTTAAATCTTACCTATCTCCACTTTATGTGTAAATATTTCTTAACGTTCTCCTCTGCTTGCTACCGAGAACGCAGAAATAATCAGCTCACACCACTTTACCAGGCCAAGGTGTTTACTGTTTCCATTTCCATTCTCATATCACTTACTTCCAGAATTGAAAAAATAAAATAATTTGACTGTCAATTCAGCAACATTGTTTGCTTCTCCACATAGATTAATTTGTTCCTTCTTTTTTTTCCACTTAATCATATAACACAGTCTATTCACTACTATGCTATGAAACAAAAAACTCAACTACTTAATATGTAAATTTCTCTCTGGTTTAACAGCACAGGAATTGATAGTGATGGCTCTATCAAAGATTTTTCTTGAAATGCCCTCAAAATTACTCCTTATTTCAGAATGTACATTTTGATGGAGTTCATTAATAGCATGGAAAAAGGTAGTTGACCTTCCTGGGGACATATTTCTAGCCATAGCCACATCTTTTCCCTCATTGATCTAAAAAAAAAAAAAAAGTTACCAGTTCTTTTTTTAAAAAAAGTATAAAATTTCATAGATCTGAGATCTTATGCTGTTTGGGCACTACAAATATTCAGCAAAAGTCTTGATCTATAGCTACGGTCTATCCAGAGAATTCTCATCGGTATTTACTATGGATTGCATAACATCTCTAGAGAGAGATATCTAGAGAGAGAGGAGAGAGATGCACATAACAACTAGAACATACATGATATATCCATCAAAATTTCTTCTTGAAATATAAGGTTTGTTTTTTGAATATCTGCAAAATGTACCTACTAAAAATTATAAAATAATCTACGTTCTTGAAATCAAAGGGAAAAGCAGGTCAGTTCCATAGAGATTCTTGGTTAGTGTAGTTAACTGAGCTGGGTATTCTAGGTTTTAATGTAAAGCCTGAAATATTTTTATGGATTATTTTCACTGGCCAAGGTGAGTAGATGATTCTCTGATTCAGTTCACTTGATAAAGAAAAAGCTCAGGCAGTGTCTCTCTGCCAGGAGTACAATTTCTGTGCCATGGTTAGTTAATATTTTCAACCAAGTTGAAACTATACAGTGATCAAACTTTTTTAAAAGATGGACAAAATAATTCGGCCAATGCTGTTGCCATCCTCTATTTCCATCTATGATTGCCTAGGCAATGTCCATCTTATTTGGAACCATCAAAAATATTAAGTCTGACATTTTGGGACATGGCAATTCTTGCTTGAAACCTATTTTCACAAGGGAATTCTTTCGTGGCTTACAAAACAAAACAAGAAGCTTACTTACAGTGAATTCCCCGGTGACTGCATCAAACCCCACATGAATCGTATGCTCAAAGTCTGAAGGAAGAGAGATCTCTGGGCGCTCTTTCTCCTTCTTCTTATTGGCTAAAGGCAAAATGTTAACATGTATTTATTTGGGGTATAGTTTTGGCATCCACAAGTTGTACAATTAGGTTCATCAAAAGAATTACAAAGTTGAAAGACAATTGATTCCAACGCAATTTTAACACTTAACTCCAGAAAATCCAATTATTTGCAGAAGTAGCTAAGAGTATGATGACAAATGTTATGTCCAAATAATTCAAAATTTCCAAAACTCATTTGAAACAATTCTCTCATTCAAACTGATTTCTGCCTTTTACCAGTGTAACCAGGAGGTATCTAGGGATATTGTGCTTAACTGGCTTTGTTGAATCAAATACCACTTACTAAGGAAGAAATTCATCATACACAAGTCAAGCTAAGGCATACTATTAGAAAGAACGAACAGAAAAGAAAACCACTTCAGCTTTCGATAAAGATATTGTGAATTGTTTCTATGTTAACAATAGCTAATAATCAAGTGGTTGGTACTTATTTAATTTAACATGTTTATATTATTAACCATATCTTAATAGACTCTTCTATTAACAAGAATATCACTGCAAATCAATTATGTTACAAATCTTTTTTATTATCAAAAATATTTCAATCATTTCCTACCCAGCACTTTGCTAGTAAAAAGCTACAAATTGCTGCTTTTTTTTTTTTACTGAATTAATTTTATTTAGTTTTCAGAAAACTTAAAGCCATTCCTTGGTTTAGTTTTTCTAGTGTGTAGTTATTTTTCCATGTTTCCATTATATTTTATCATATCAGCCATTCAAAAATCACTGTGTTTTTCAAGTAGCAGATTTTTCATAGTTACATATTTATAAATAAATGTATCAGTAGCTCATAATTTAAAAGCCTAAAAAGATATAATCACTGAATAAACTAAGTTGAGAACTATAGTCTATCTGGAAATAGTTCCCAGGAAGAAGTCATTGTGGAAACACTCTAAAATGGAATCTAGCAGCTTCCATAACACACTTATTTGCAGATCTGAGCATGTATCTCTGGTGAGGCTACATTTCACACTGAAAAAAATAGTACTCACCCTCCTAATACAGGGCAAGTCAGCATGAACCAGGTTTACTCAGTTAAAACCAATCAGCTTCAGAATTGCCAGGGTGGTCAATTTAGAACATTCTGGTTCAAATAGATGTTGCCTTGGCCTGAATTACAGACAACACTCAACCATATATTGATTAGTGGTTTTGTGGGTTACCCGTGATAAATTTTAAATTCAAAACTTTTCATGTTCAAAGGCTATTCTTATGACTTCTTGTCTCATTCCACTCTCTCTCACTGTTCCTTATCTCCAGCCACAAGACAGAGATATGGGGCAGAAATATGAAAACTGAACTAGTGTGAGGAAATATACAGGATCAGGAAATAAAGGTTGGGAGCAGGGGAACAAGAGTCACCCAAGGCCTTTGCCTGGCCATGGAGCACATTTAGGACTCATTTTGAAAAAACTACGTAAATGCCATATAACTTACCCTCAGTACAGATTCCATTTTTATAGTGAGCCTACATTATTCATGAATATTATTCTAACTCAATAGTGAAGTTTAGAGCTTTCTGTTGGTACTCCTACTTCCCTTGCATGTTTGTGAACTATAGCTAACATTTATACTTGTTCAACTACCATTTTTTACTTGTTCAGAAAGGCACTCTGGTCTCATCACTCCTTTGAAGGTGTCCTCGCCACTCCTGTAATCATTTTCTTACTTTTTCTCTTTCATGATGTCCCATCCATGCTGGCCATGGCTAGCTACTTCTCTTTTTACTTCCTTGACAATGTGGCCTGGCATTCCTCCTTTCTCAGTGACCGTTCTTTCTTTGATTGTCATTGCTTTTGACTTTGCTAGTTCAGTTTTTGGCCTTCTGCATTTCTTTCTCTATTGGATTGCCTCCACTCCCAAATACTAACTCAGGTAATTCCCTAATCTGTGGTTGGCAGGGGTGGATCCACATGTTAGGGGACCAAATACTTTATGTAACTTGAGAGGAAGGTTCCCTTTAAGTAAAAAACATTGTAAAATTACAAATACAAATATACCGGGGCCCCTCCCAGGGCCTTGGAAGGGTTCCAGGCAAGTCAGGAATTCTGAAGGAGCAGTTTCATTCACTTCACAGTAACTAGCTCTTGGTAAGCTTTTTGGGGTCAATCTTCTGAAAAATCTGAAGAAAGCTATGGAACTTCTGCCCATAAAAATGTACTATATACATATACTTTCACAATTCATAATTCCCCTGGACTCCAAGCTAAGAGCCCCTACCTTAATCTGTACCTCCAAACCTTCTATCAACTTGAATTCATGGCCCCTCTTGTCAGCAAATAAACTCTCCCAACTTTTCTGTTAGTAGCAAATTGACTAAACATTCCACTTGGGCTGAGTTATATGCAGAATTGGCTTAATGGTGTTCTCCTAGAAGGCCACCTGACTGCCAATCCCTTATCAGCCTGACTATGCAATTTTCTTAACTCAGGGCTAAACATAACAAAGGCAGGAAGCCCAAGTTTGCTCCTCTTCTAGTGTTCCCTATCTCAGTGAAATGATACCACTAACCACACAGATTAAAGAAGAAGCAAGGCCTTAGGCTCCTCCTCCTTTAGGCAGCTCTGAGCAATGAAAAAAAAATTATAATCCTCCTCTGCAATATGCAATTCAAATAAAAACAATACTAAGGCATAAATAATTAAGGAAGTGAAAAAGTTCTGATGTTCCTATGGTGATTGAGTCTTTTTTTAAGCTATATATTCAAAATTAAACTGTTTCCACATTACTAGATGCCATATACAAATGCTTTCTCTGGCTCCTGAGTAATCCAGCAGTGGCCCAGCTGCCCAAACCAAGAATCTGGGAGTCGTCTTTCACTCCTTTATTTCTATGCTAATTGATCATCAAGTTTTATATATTCTATCTCCTAAACTGGTCTTGAATGTTGAATCTTCATCCCCACAAATAATTATCTTAGTCCAAGGCATCAGCACTTCTCACTTAGCGTCACTGCCTCCAATTTTATCCACTTCCATTCATTTCTTTACTCTGTGGCTAGATCACATTCTTGCATTTTGTGTGTGTGTGGTGGTGTTGTTGTTGTTTATTTGTTTGTTTGATGGAGTCTCGCTCTGTTGCCCAGGCTGGAGTGCAGTGGCATGATCTCGGCTCACTGCAAACTCTGCCTCCTGGGTTCAAGTGTTTCTCCTGCCTCAGCCTCCTAAGTAACATTCTTGCCTTTAAGATGCTTAAATGCTGTCCCCTATTATTCGTAAGTTAAAAGTTCATGTTTCTTACCATGATATCCAAGGGCCTGCATGATATGTTCCTAGTTTACCACTCCAGCTTCTCTATTCTTGCCATGGGCCCTACTACTTATACACATTCAATGCTCCCTAAGCTGCCAGGCTTTCTCATACCTCCAAGCTTTTATACATGCCATACCTAGGCCTGGAAAGTCTTACTTCTTACCCTTTCCCCCAAATTTATGTGGATCACTCCTATTAGTCTTTACTCTTAAAGACTCACTCTTGGGCTTTTTCTCCTTTGGCAAGTCTTTTCCTATCTCCTCTCTGCAGACAAAGTTAAATGCCTGTCCTTTCATGCTCCCATAGAACTACTCAGTGTATACTTGGAGCTTGGTACCATCAGCATAGGATTATTTTTTACATATCTACCTCTCTATCTAAAATTTGAGATAATTGACAGTAAAGAGTGTAATTTATTTATTCTCACATTCCCCTGCAACTAGTTTGTACCTGCACACTTAATAGCTATCATGAATGGACACTCACCACGTGCCAAGTGTCTGAAGCTATCTCATTTAATCTCCACAACAGTCTTATGAGGTAGGTCTTATTCTTGTTTTATAGATGAGAAAAGCGAGACTTGATGGGGTTAAATCATATACCCAGGGTTACACAGGTGGCAAATATCAGAGCCAGGATTTGAATCTACGTCCCCACTTTGTCTCCAGAACCAAAGTTTTCAACAGTTAAACTATTTATTACCCAGTGGCATTAAAAAAAAAAAAAAAGAAAGAAAAAGAAAAAGAAAAAGAAAAAAAAACAAAAAACCTCTAGCTTTCAGTAAGTGTTTAGCAATAAACTAGATCCTAGATGAGAACCGGTTTTTGTTTTGTTTTGTTTTTTTTAGATACACTAAAATGTCTGTATCACCCTGCAAAATTCTGTGAGCATTTGTCATTTATCTTAAGGCTCAACCTGGTCAGCTCTCTGGGTTGACATTTGCAGAGAGCAGAAGTCCAAAAAAGTATCACTTTCTAAGTGTATCTCCCATATTCTATTGGAACTCAGAACAAGGCTACAAATTGCTGCCTGGACCACAAACTGCAAACAGCATTTGGCCTTGAGATCTACTGGGAGTTCCAGTTGTAATTCCTAGGGCCACCTAATTTCTCCAGAATCTCTCATCCCGACATCTTTCTCTATTCTGCTACTTCATAAAGAATGAGAAGCCCCTCTAGTCACCTATCATCTTTTATATGCCCACCCCAGTGTTCTGCAGTTCTTTTACCAGCAAGAGTTTGTCCTGTCAGAAACATTTTTTTTTCTACATTTTCTACCTCTTCCTTCACCTCTTGCCTTAGGTTTTCATACTTCACTGTACATCATTTTCATCTGAGAACTTAAAAAAAGAGAGAGAGATGCCATCTCCAGAGATTCAGATTCAGTTAGTCTGGGGTAGCCCTAGGCATCTTTGTTTTTTAAAATTCCTCAGGTATTTCTATTACATAGCTGGGATTGAGAACAACGACTTTAGACCCTACTATCCAATGAGGGTACTGCTTCCTTAGATAAGACTGGTGGAGGCTGCTCACCCTTTCTCATCCCAAGCCTGTAGGCCTGAGAGAACGGAGAAGGCAGACTTCCTCTTTTTCACTCAAAACGATTCGAGATCAGTACTTCTACACTTGCCTACAAAATCCTCTCTTTTGAGATTATCACCACCTAGTTCTCCTGGCCAAGTGCATTGTTTGCCATTGAGGACTCTGGC